TAAGTGAGGGAAAAAAAATTACATTGTAAGCGCATATTTTCTCAAATTTTATTATTATTGTTCCCTTTTTTTTCTTTGATGGTATATTTATTTTTGAGTTAATATCGATGATTCCATGGGTCTATAAATTATATAAAGAACTTAACCGCACCCAGTATTTTAGGCGCACTCCCTCGCACTCGAAAAATTTACCCCCCTCCACTGCCTTTTCCAAGAAATCTAAATCAAATCCATATCCCCCCCCCCTCCAATTATATTTAAATAACCAGAGCATCTTTATAACTACTTATCGCCCCTCAAATTTTCAATTTAGGAATGAAAGTCCCTGATTCCACCCTAACTTTATAGCTTCCACAAGAAAGGCGGGGATTCCCATTTATAATAGTGCCGGCTGGGATAATTCCACGGGAAGATTGAAATAAGATTGGTTAGTTTGTGATACGGTAATTTATGTCGAATCAACATGTAATTTTTGTTGTTTAATTGGGTTTGCTAAAATTGATAACTCATATAAGTTAAATGATGAAACATACATTTTCAAAATTTCCCCATCACCTTTAAAAAAAGAATTTTGTATACTTTGTTGCGAATCCGAGCTAACCATGAATGAGGAGTAATTCCCATATGGTGAGAGGTAAAATGTTCTAACTTGTATATTTTGTAAAATTTATGTTGGAGTCACCCCTTGATATAGTAAAATTATTGCTATTATTCTAAATAATAATTTAATCACTAATGAGAAAGAAACACCTGCTAGAATACACTGGTCTTTCCTTGCCCAAGCATTAATACTAAACTAGACAAGACAACGATTCATTCATTAGAAAAGCATTATAGAGTGTACATGTAATGAAGTCAGCCATTAAAAGACGCAACCTGACTTCAAAATATATAGTCTTGGTCTGTATTAATTTGGACAAATTTATACATTATAAATCGTAACCAATCAAATGTTAAAAAATATAATAAAAATAACTAATAGAATAACCCTGAAGACCCGCTATTTGCTCAAAGGAATACATTTTACATAGAAAGGGGCAAAAGTTTATTACTCAAGTGTCCGAGGTAAAAAAATAGAAATTTTTTTTATTACTTTCTAGTTTCACTATAATTAGATAATTTGTCATAGTGAGATTAACAGAAAAATAGGGTAACTTGTTAGAGTTTTTATGAGATATAAACGGCTGTTATCTAACAGGGTTTAGCCATTTTAGCTTATTCTATTATTAATTAATCACACTATAAGACTGGAATCTATCCTGTTTTTCTTTTCTTAAAAGTAATGATTGATGCCCTTAGACAAATTTTTTTTTTAGATAGAATACAATCATATAAAATCAAATATCATAGAAATAAAAATATGTTTGGGATGTCTAAAAATTCTACCAATGATCTCATGATGGGATTTTATATAATACATACCTTTTTTTTGCGCAACGAATATAAGAAAACATGCGCATACAGAGGTTGTATGGAAAAACGGGACAGCGGAAATCCACCGAAAAGATTTGGTAAAATCAACCAAAGGACGAATGTTTATCGACAAGAACTATTCATTGCATTTCAGGAAATTGAGATTCACAGATTCCAACATATGGAGGTGAGACTTTCATTATAAAATAAAACTATAAGCCGACTAACAATTGTAAGCGGAGCTACCCGGAAAGTTTATTTTGTGTTTTATCGGTAACTCGTCACAATACCTATATATAGAGTATCCCGATTATTTACTCAGTTCCATAAAAGTTTAACCGGACACTATCACCTCGGCCTTGGGGTGTTTTTTTACTGGAAAGAAGGAACTCCAGGAAATTAGGGGGGGGGAGGGTAATCAAATTGCTTCTCAAGACTTGAAAAAGATTTTTGTTTCGGGACATGCGGCTTAAGATGAGACTTAAAGTTTACGTAGCTGATTAAATAACGCTACGCGCGATGTAGAATTTTTGCTAATTTTTGCTCATTTCTTGGTGAATTCGGGTAACTGTGAATGCGGTGCTTATCTATACATGTTTTTTAATTGAGATTTTCTTTAAAAAATAGGATTCTTTCAAAAAAACATATGATTCATTTATGTATAAATATAATATCACATCAAAAATTTATATTAAATAGATTAAGTCGATATACAAGTATATAACGCCGGTTGAATATTATAGTGTTCTATGTTCATTTTTTTTTTAATTTCAAATTGTTCAGATTGAGAATACCTTTTTAAAAAATAGGATTTCTTTCATTTTTTATAAATAGGAAATCACATTGTATTATTGCAAATAAATAATTATTCTCAATTTTAGTATTTCTTATATCTAACATTTATTTTATAAGTAGATATTAGATAACCATGATAATATCAACAATCCATTTTTTTGGCGAACTCATACAAAAATATATATGACAAGAGAAGAAAGAGAGAAAGAAGGAAGGAAAAAAGAAAGAAAGAAAGAAAGAAAAAAAACATTTGTCATATAATTAAATGGCCTTAGAAACCAATTTTTTTAAAAAAATCTTATATTTTGTTTATTAATATACTTTTAGAATCAAGCATTTTGTCATATGTAAATTAATTATATATAAACATACTTAACTCAATGAAAGAAAACAGTTTATTTAAATCACAATTTTCAAAATAGATTTATTGACATTTAAAACCTAAAAGTATTTATAGGTCTTAATAAACTTAAAATAAGGCTCAACAAACCCCGTGGTCCAATTAATACTCGATCTTCTCCAACTGGTAAAATTAAACATGTAAGAAAGACCTCTAACTTTCAGTCTTTCTTTCATTCAATCATTCAAACATTCTTCTTTCTTTCTTTCTTTCTTTCTTTCTTTCTTTCTTTCTTTCTTTCTTTCTTTCTTTCTTTCTTTCTTTCTTTCTTTCTTTCTTTCTTTCCTTCCTTGTGTTGAAAAAATGATATAATAACAACAAAAAAAATTCTCAGCCGAAATATAAATCAATTAACTAGTTAAGAAATCACAATTATGTTTGATCATTTTAATCATTCAATAACTTTCCATTTGAAACATTAAAAAAAAATACTACCAAGATATTTTCGAAAGGGTTTAATTTAAAAAAAAACTCGGCTAAGGCAGGTTTCACGAAATGATCAATTCGGGGAAGGCCGACTCGGGGATAAAAGATCCATCCCAAATTTTGTAAAAATTATATAAGTATTATAAATTTTCTCTTCGTTACCACCCACTCCCCCCCTTACCCTTTCGAATACTAAAAGCTGTTGGAAAGGCAAAAAACTTTTGTCGACAGCACGCCTCACAATAACGCCGGATAACAGCTCGGATATGGGTTCGGTCGTATTCGCTCTACTGGTGCCAACCGTCATCATTTTTGTCGTTCTTATAATAACTTGCAAGATACTGGCCAAGAAATAAAAGTAGAATGTAGACATCAACCCGGAAAATGGATAATGTCCAATTCTTCTTTATATATATTTTTATTTATTACGATAGATGGCACTAATGGCACAGCATATAAAAATGCTAAAATAAATGATTTAAGGCAGCAATATGGTAATTATTTTTTAATTAAGTTATTAAAGTGCTTGCGGTTAAGCAACTTATCGTAGCATTTTTAATTATTTTATTAAAACGTAAAAAGGCGCACAATTTGAGCGTTAACGTTTTGCGTACTTTTTAATAAAAAAAACTTAACACATTTTTTGTTTTCCTAGTGGATTAAAAATTATAACTAAGTTATAAAAAAAACAGAATTTTTTTTTAAAATTATATTATCGTCTGTCTTTCTATTTCATTAATTTTTATATATTCCATTTTAAAAAACAAGTTATTTTTTTTACATTTTACATTTTACATTTAATATTTATTTTATATTTAATAAACAACCAGAAAGGGGGTTTTAGCCCCCCCCCCATTTCCAATTATTATGTGGGTACTAAGGTTAGTCAGCTTTCTTTAGAAAAAACCCGAATTCTTTGTGAACTGGTTTTAGGACAAAAAAGCAAAATGAATGTATAAAAAAAGTAACGAAAATTCATTTTAAAAATTGTATCTAGCTCCAAGTGGTAATTTGACCTATTTGCACGATACTTTTTGAAATGCATTGTTTACTTTTGTAATACTCAATTTCTGCGTATCATTTATAGTAAACGCGAATTCCTTAAGCGACGCGAATCAATCGCTAGCGAAATTACAACAGCTATATTACTTTTTTGAAAAACTCCATATTAATAAAATAAAATTATGAAGCGTTTATATAAGAATCGCTTGAACATGCACTCACTATATAAATAAGACGTTATACCTAGGATATTATAACCTGCGGAAATTTTTAAATAAGCCCTGTGCGGTAAAAATATTTAGCGCAGGTTTTTCTAGCTTCACCCGATATTTATTTTAAAATGAATAATTTGGTAATAAGGGAAAAACTCGAGACAGAATTTACCCTTCCGGATAAGATCCTTTGGAGATGATTCCTTCCTACTACACATTTTTCTTTATCAAAATTCCCTTCCCTCGAGAGCAAAAATTTCACCTTCTGGTCACGCGACTTTTTACAATCTTATTTACTTTATTTGTAAGTAATTAAAATTTATTTATTTTTTTTAAATATTTTTTTGTGTATAATCTTTTTCGATATGGGCCATATTTTTCGTCTTTTTGCGAAACTAACAATTAATCAAATCTCATAAAATACGAACAAAATGTCTTGTTTTACGTGACTACTCCCACCATTAACTAATTTTTTATTTTTCCTATTTAATTTTAATTTTTTTTTGTTGTTTATTTTTGTTTTTATTTTATTTAAAAACTTTATTTACACATTGATTTAAAATGTATGTGATTATAGGAAAAAATAAATAAAATAAATATTAAATTATTTGCTATTTCATCTCACATATCGTTTTAAAACAACAAAGTCAAATTGTTTAATTTTCCTTATGATAGCAAAAAAATACATATAATTTTTATTAATCGTGTTATTTACGTTTTTTATATAAAATAAAAAGATTTGATGAATAAATTAAGTAATATGTATATAATGGATTATAGATTTAAATTTAAATAATTAAGAAAAATTTTTTATTTCGCTCTATATCCCTTTCTATCCAATCAAAATCCGGTTTTAGATTCTAAGCTCGGCACAATTAATTTCCCATATTCTTGGATTCGATTTGGGAAATAATGAGGAGCCTTTAACTGGGAAAAATTCCTTATTTTTAATTTTAACTTGGGAACCAAAAAAATCAACGTAAAAAAAAATGCTTTTTCTTGTTATATTATTAAAAACCCGTGATATCTTTGCAACATATTTACAGTGTTGTGCAGATTTGTGCTGATAAACGGCTCTAGTTTTGAGCCGATGGCTGACTCAATATTTCACCCAGAATAATATTAGACAAGCCTGAAGATCTTTTTTGCAAAAGGAACAAAGGTTCTGACATCTTTTAGCGAAATCTTGTGGCTCTAGCAATATTTTTATGGCTAAAATATTGAGTTTGCCGTTTTTTAAAAATCGGCTCAAACAAAACGAGTCGTTTAACAACACTAATAAAAACATTTCCGTATTTTTTTTAAAAATTCGTTTGTTAAATTAAATTTATTTAACCTGTAAAAATTGATTAGAATTATCATAAACATGTTATTTTTTAACAATTTTTTTTTTGCTAATTTTTATTTTTTAAATAAATTTAAAAATATGGAAATTTTTTCTATCAAATCTTGTCAACACTGTAGTAGTTAAAGAAGAATGACAATAAGTAAGAAAATAATTTAAAGGTTTTAAGGGTATATTAATTTAAATATCGAAATTTTTTTTTGGAGGGTGGGGTTACCCACATATAATACCTTGATTGACGATGCATTCATTTCAAAGTGTACATCAATGAAAACAGCTGGGAACGCTACCCATATTATCATTTACTAAAAATTTTATACGAGACACCGATTTGTTCCTATGTCTGACGCAAACTTTATAAAATTGCCTGATCATCGAGATAATAAGGAAGCAAATTTGTTCATTGGCTGAGATAAATCGAACTCCTTCAAATGCATTATTATGAATGCGTCGTCAGTCTAGGTAGTATTATAATGTCATTTGGGGTTACTTACAAAAAAAAAAATTAAAATAATTATCCTACCTCCACATCAGAGATCGTAAAATTTCTTCCCCTAATAATATTTCTGATCCCCTCTTCCCGGGACCCGAGTATTTTAAGTATTTTATTATTCTTTCGACAACTTTTTTAAAAACTTACAAACACGAACATGCTGACGGATTGCCGAATTGTATCCATGAGGCACAGACAGCACCCGAACTAGCAATTTAACAGCTGATCGATAATATTTTTAGAGATCATTTTTTCTAAAAAAAATTGAAATTATTTATTCCTTGAGGTGGTTTATAGTATAATGTAAAAAGTTTTTCAGTTCTCTGCCTTATGTTGAGTGGCCTTTTTTACTGAATGGATCAGAACACCCGGAAATAATAATATTTGAAAATATTATTTTTTTCATTTCTTATGTTTTAGATTTTCTCTTTCTTTCAAAATAATTTGCTTAAAAAAAAAGATTCATATAATGTTGTCGGGAATCGTAGGCATTTTGGGCCGATTTTTAAAAAACGGCTAACTCAATATTTTAGCCAAGGAAATATTGCCTAAGGCCGCATTCATAGTGGATTCAATCCGACACGATTTAACAGCTGATCGATTTTTAAAATCTGTTTATGAGATCAATTTTTTTGTAATAAATATTAATTTTGTCTTTAATTCTATACATGATAATAACCTAAGAAATATTGGTTTTATAAAAGGAAAATTGATTCTCATAAACTGATTTTTAAAAAAGGCTAACTCTATATTTTAGCCAAAGATAATTTGCCTAAGGCCGTATTCATAGTGAACCCGATCCGACACGATTTAACAGCTGATCGATTTTTAAAATCTGTTTATGAGATCAATTTTTTTGTAATAATATTAATTTTGTCTTTAATTCTATACATGATAATAACCTAAGAAATATTGGTTTTATAAAAGAAAAATTGATTCTCATAAACCGATTTTAAAAATCGATCAGCTGTTAAATCGTGTCGGATCGGATCCACTATGAATGCGGCCTAAGGCTCCAGATTTCGCTAATAGATAGATGTCCAGACCTTAGTGCCATCTGAGTAATATTTTTCTTGATAAAATATTGAATTGAGTTAGCCCTTTTTTAAAAATCGGCTCAAAATCGAGCATATAACAACACTAGTTTTAACAACTCAGAAATTTTCCTATCCTATCGAGGTGGGAGTAACAAATTTACTATTATTCTGATCAGTGAATTTTTTTTCAAAAAAAATATGTTTAAGTGACTATATATAGCAGTGTTGTTAAAAGTTAATTTTAAAATCGCCACCGCTACTTTAGAATTTTTTTTTGAAATATTTTTTACTTATATCCTCTTTTCCCACAATTTAAAAAAAATATGACTATAATTTCAAATAATAATATATATTTTATTTATTTTTTATTTTGCATTTCGATAATAATAACATTTCTATCGTCATCCCTAACTCTAGAGCGAGATCGGAAAATATAACCTTTGCCATACCAAATAATCGTTTTTATATTGAAAATAACACTGCATACATAATATGAGATTAATAATTTTTTAAATTTAAGAATTACCTCGGCATTGACAATTTGCAAATACGCATTCTTAAGTAATGATAGTTCCATTCCATTTCACCGTGTAAAACACAAAATGCGCATCAATAAAATAAGGATTTCATTTTTTTCTTATGTAACATCACTTCAGATGAGGGAAGAAAGAAATAAAAAATCTACCTTATATTCCATATTGAATCTTATGCTGGTAGAACTACCTTCCACCCTCCTCCCCCAATCTCATGCTCACACATAAAACATAAATTTAATGATGCTTGGAACCATGCCGATTTGTTGTTAATTGACGCCATTAGCCTAATGCCTGAGTTAGTGTTGTTAAACGGGTTGATATTTAAGAATCTAGGAAAATGATTCCCCGAAAAAAAATCTCCGTTTTTTAAGATATTAAAAATTACAAAATTAATAAAATAGGAGAAATAATCCCTATAAATATATCCACGAAATAAAAATCCTCAAATAATATATTTAAAAATTTCGAGAAAATAAATTAAGGAAAATTAATTTTTAAGAATTATTATTGGGGATTTTTTTTCCTGGGAATTATTTTCCGCTTAGATTTTTAAAAATGGCTACTAACCCTATATTTTAGCCAAAACGGATACGCGCGTCTACAGATCTTGCTCATAGCTTGGGACATCTATCCAGTATTTGCGTAAGAGTTGTTTAACAACACTTAGCCTGAGTTTTTATCTGAAAATGTAACGGAAAAAAATATATACTTTTCCTGAACCGCAACGCGACTAAAGATTCTGATAAAAACGTTAATATCATTTACAATACGCCACGCTTAGAATTATTTTATCAAATTTTCTAAAATTCGCTTTCTTTAAATTTTTAGAATATTTCTAATTTTTGAATTTATAAAATTAAAAAAAAATATAGTCTGGTTTTTTTTTATAAAATTTGTAAATATAATTTATTTAAATTTAATATAACAACAATCTGCTTCTAATTAATTTTGTTTATGGACTTTTTGCTCATCGGATAATTGAAGAGAAGATTATTAAAACGCCATTAAAGGTAAAAAAAAATTATTTCTTTCATTCCGATTCAGTTAAAAGATTGTTTAAATTTTTTTGAATTTGTTATACGATGCGCGCGGGGGGGGGGTACTAGGTAGAGAGAGTCAGCTAGCCACGAGGATAATTTGGAGATCATCTTAAAATTTATTTCCCCACCATTCATGAGATGGGCATTATAGAGATTGGTTTGTCTTTGACACCTGCCACTCATAAATTATAGTTAGTTTTAAAAGTTTTTAAGGTTCAAAAATTAATAGGACACGTTGGCAAAATTTACGAATTTTAATTAAAAAAAATATATTATCTACTGAGAAAATGGTCCTTTTTTTAAATAAAGGAAGATTTAATATGTATATATATAATATAAACTTGTTTCTGTTACATTACAATAAATTAATTAATATATTTTTAATTTTAAAATTAATTAAATATCATACACTTCAAACTCGTGAAACGTCGATATCGCCTCATCTTAAGAATTGTTCTTAGCCCAATTCTCCCATGTGACATTGCCCCATCGTCAGTCAAGGTATTATTATACAAACTCGAATAATTCGAATTAGAAAGTGGAATAAAACAATTGTGAAAAATTATTATTTGTTTATGGAAAAAAACCTAAAATGCATGGTAGGGAATGTGTGGATCAGACTGTTCATTTGCGTGGCTCAAGAAGCGGTAGAAATATACTATTAGGGTGCCATAAGCATGGGCTAGACTAGTTTTCATTGTGGGCCATCTTTTTTGGGTACGGCTATATGAAAAAATTACGGGTCGGAACATGAATAAGGAGGTGAATGCCAGCGAAATAAGATAAGCCGGTGGGATGAAGTATAATTTCGGCATGATTAAATCAAATTGATTTATATCATCTACTTTTTTTTAAAAATATTTAAGTAAATAAGTTTTTAATTTAATATGATTTTATGCTGCGTTTTCAAATTATTTATTTTTTTTGTAGTTAAGCAGCAAAATTAAATTAGGTTACACGATATGTATTATATATAGATGAGCGTTGATCTTCTTAATTAACTTTATAATAAGCTGATTCGTGTCAATTTTATTTATTTTATGTAGAGGGTGGAGGTGATGGAATATATAAACTTGAAAAATAATGCCTACCCCCCTCTATATTATACTAACGAATTTTCACTTTTTTATTATAAGAAAATGAATGACGTTAAAAAATGCTTATAATATCGATTTAAATTGAGACTTGCAATTTATTATTTAATAACGATTTCTTAGAAAAGCTAATATTATAAGCTTTTATACCGTATATAAGCAAGCATGAGCAGCTGTTTGAAAAAAATATCGAATAATTTTTATAAATTTATAGATTAAAAATGATATCTGCTGGTTTCTTTTTCTTAATCGTATTCTTCTTTTTTTAAAAATAATTTCCTTCCCTTCATTTATTTATCACACTATTTATTCTGTTATATAAAAATTTAGCGGATATCGGGTATTGGTTCGGGTCCGGATATTTTCTCTTACCTTTTAAATACCCTTATCTTGATGTATTTAAAAAATTATCTTTATAAGATCCAGAGTCGAACCCGCATAAAATTTTCGGATACCGATTATGGTTGAAAAAATTGCACCCTTTAAAGCTTTAGTATTATAGGTGATCAACCCCCTCCCCCTCCCCAAACACTCTCCAAATTTTACTTCGACGTGACACAATAGATATGAAATTTTATATAATACGTATATAGAATAAGAACCATAATTGCCATAGAGAGAATACTTGTTCAAGCTCACTCATTTCTAACTCTGTGCATTCTGAACCGTAAAATTCACTAGTTAGAGAAAATAAGGTCAGGATGATTTGTTGTAAAACATTTCTATACATTTAACAACTATCCTTATAAAATTTTTGATCTGTATCGGGCCTAATTTTTACAAGTCCTACTCAGACCGTATTTTGTTTTTATTTATCCCGAAAAGCCGGCCCGAAATTAATTATTTTTCCTCCCAGCCCGGCCCCAATTTATTTTAAATATAAAATAAATTTATTTTTTAATTGTAAATATATATAATATTCTAACAAAATGTTTTAAAATATATATCAGTTTATTTCACAAAAATTGAATGATATTATAGTTAAAAATTTAAGCCCCGCTCAACCCGGCCTGATTAAAGTACTAAGCCCGGCCAGCATTTGCCAATCTTTGGTACAAAAAACATTTTGATAAAATTTAAAAATAAAAACATTAGTTACTTACAAGTTTTTTTTATATAAAATTTGTTACAAATGTATTGAAATATTTTTGTAAAGTTAAACCTGACCTTTTAAATCTTAACATTGATACAATTTATAAACGATTGGCCTTCCATTTTACAAAATATTAATAAGTCACATGACTTGAAAAATTGAGCCATTATTTAAGAATCCTTCAAAGAAAGGATGGAAAAACATATTGTAAAACGTTTTAAAATTGGGTGAAAGAAATTTTTTTAAAAAAACAGAAAAATATGAAAAGAAAATAATTGAGAAAAAGAATAAATAAATGCTGATAAATAATGAACGAAATATATAGATAGGATAGTAATGATCTGTATCCGGCCTAATTTTTTCAAACCCGGCTCGGCTTGAACCCGTATTTTTTTAAACTTTATCGACCCGGCCCGAATTTATCTAACTTAGAAAATTAAATTTTATAATTACTTAAAATAAAGATGTATTTTATATGCGTGTAGTTTTTATTATAAATAAAATCGATATATTTATTTTACCTAAAAAATTCAACATAAAATTGATTTAATTTTTATATATTTTTAAAAAATTTCAAGGCCAGTCATGACCCGGCCCGAATTTTTTTATAAAATATCAGGCCTACTTTTGCAGAATTCTTATAAAATCTTCGAACAAAATAATAGGGATTTTTTTAAAATATTAAAATAAGATTGAAATAAAGAAGATTTTTGCTAGACGAGATCAAATGTCATTTCAATTTATCTCTTTAAATAATTAAATATATTATATTATATAATTTTGTATAAAGAAAACTATAAAAAATAGTAATTAAACTTGACTTGCGGTTGCTGTTGTTACTGCTATTTTATATTATTATTTTATTTATATTAGAGAAATGTATAACTTTTGAAAATTTATTAAATTTTTAAAATTTTTTTCTTAAAGAAAAAAAATGAAGAAAATTTAAAAAGGAAAATATTTCAAAATGTAAAAAATTTTTTTTGTTGTTTATCTAAAATAAGAAGACTTCGGCCAAAAAAAAATATGTCATGAAACTAGTGTTGTTAAACGGCTGGATTTGAGGCGATTTTTTAAAAATGGTTAACTCAATATTTTATTTCAGAAAAATATTATGGAAACTTGAAGATTTTTTGCTTATAGATGTTACAGAGGTCTTAGAGACATCTATTAGCGAAATCTGGCTTAGGCAATATTTTTCCTGTGTAAAATATTGAGTTAGCCGTTTTGCAAAACCGACTCAGCCGGTTATCAACACACGTGAGACTATAAAAAATGCAAAAGTAACCTTTGCGTTTTTCAGGCTGCCGCAAGCATATATCGAGAAAAGTTTTAAAGTATAGCGGCACAGCTCAACGGAAAGGGCTATATTCTCTGTAATTTCGAATATCGTGAAAATAAAATAAATAATACGAAATATTTTACCACCAAAAAAAAGAGGATCAAATTCACAGATTAAACAGAAAACGGTTTGTGGGCAATCCATCGAACCCGAGGTAAGACCCGGGGCGGGTTCGGACTTCTTTTAGAAAATCGGTTTCGATTAAGTTCTCGTTATCAAAATTAAATTCCTGAATCTAAAAGACTCGATTTCCACATTTTAAATTAAGATTTTAGCCATTATAATTTAACCCAAGCCTCTAAATTCCGTTAACTGATGTCTAAATCTTACTACCAGATATGAGCAAAAATTTTCAGACTTGGGTAATATTAACAACACCAATTTTTTTAGTAGAGGAACAAAAAAAGGAATTTTTAGCGATAAAATGTGTTGTTACGATTATATTCCTTATTTTACTTCGCGGTTTTTAGAAATTTACCCCCCCCCTTGTCTTGCATGATGAGACCCGTTGGACCCGAACTGAAGCCGAACTCGAACCTATTTGTATCGGGCGGCATATGAGACCAAGACTCTAGATTCTAACTTAATAGGCGGCCTTTTCAAAAACAAATACGGTTCGAGTAATGGATTATTCGTATTGAACGAATCGAATAATTTTCTATTCGTAATTAAAGGATCTGCAATGCCCAGCCCGGAGCGTGTAACGTTTTGGGAAATTCATTTAGGCCGTGCAAAAAAAATTATCGGGTTGGATTTTGATGAATTTGATAGTGTTTTATAATGTAATGTTTATTTTAGTGTCTACTAATAGGAATATTCCTTGTATTTATTAAAAACGGAGGCATCGCAGCCATAAAAAAATTAGAAACGCCCGATTAGGTATAATTAATTTGACCGGGCCTGTCAAAAAAACTAAATTCCAAATGAGCCGGGGCATTAAAATTTTGATGGGTGCGGACCTCCATTCATCGAATAAGAATAGTAATTATTCAATTCCTTCTAGCCTATCATTTTAATATCTGTTCGGGACATATGTTACCGTTCATAGAATTGTAACAACGAATGTTTTTTTGGCCGATATGCATTGAGTATAATTATATAAAATGAAAAATCAGAATTCGAGCCGTTTCGGAATATTTAAAAAAAAGCTCTGTCCAGGGGTCGAGATAGGCCGATCCTAAATTCGCGTTCGATCTAGATTCGGTCCATCGTATAGAATGAGGATTTATTTTATTTTTTTTAATTCGTAAAACGTCTATCAAGTTGTGACAGTTGTATACCTATTTCTTAACTTTTTTTTGAAGAAAAGTAGTCATAAATGATTAAAATTAAAATCGGGCCCGAGTTCATAGACTTAAATATTTTCGGGAGATAGTATACTATACGGGTTCGGGGAAAAAGAATTGTGATGTCGAGTTCTGGGTTAGGTCTAAACCCCGTAAAATGTTTGAGATATATATATATGTAGTTATAATGCCCTATAAAATATAGATTAAATTTTAAGAATGAGATATTTTTTAGTTTATTTTCACTCAAACTTCCCCCCCCCCCCACAATTGATATCGGATATTGGTTGGTGTCAGCATAATATCCAATGACAACTTTATATCGTAATCGGATTAAAAACGCGTTAGTTTACTTCTTTATATATAACCCGCGCGGCGAAGTATGCAAAATATGCTGTCGTCGCGAATTTTGTATACTTCGCGAATTCTCGCCAATTGCAGGGTGTGAGATCAAATATAACAAAATGTAAAATTATATTTTTCTTGACATCGTAGAACAAAACCGAAATCAAGCCATGATGGAATCGCCAAGAACTCAAAATCTTTAAGGACAACATCGTCGCACGTCACAGCCCGTCTCCTATAAATAAAACGATTGTACCTATACGAATTCTTCTAAAATAAAATCAAATCGTACTCATGCCCTTAATAGACTTTGAATGCATGGTCGCTGGTTTGCCCCCCTCAGGATCCTCCCCGCCCACCATGAAGTCTTTTGGCTCGCTTTACAAACAGCCAAAGTGCCAAGCCTCCTTCAAAAACTCCAAACCACCCACTCAGGGCGCCCCGGAAAGCGTTAGAACTCCGGAGTTAACGGCGGAAAGGGTTTTGCGCCGCAAGAAAGATAAAAAGAAGAAGCAATCTCGCGACTCCAAGTTGGATGGTAGCGATGACCATAGTGATTTGAAATATTTTCACGAGGGCGTTGATCTCGAAAGGGTGAAGGTAAACGTAGGCAAGGTAAAGGCGAAATGCGATATATCAGCAATTTTTGGTGACAACGAGAGAAACGTCAATCTTAATCAAAAAGATCACAAATCATCCTCTCTCCTCAACTCGAATTTGGATTTAAAAGTAGGCGGGCACAGCTTATTGGCCGCGAGATTGGAGTATTACGCTTTCCTGGAGGATGAAAGAGAAGGATTGTTTTGGCGCCAACATAATTATAATGTCGATTTCGGGCCGTGCCTTTCTCCCCTAGTCGAGGTTGTCGAGCCCTCGATCAAAAATTTTCGATCTCTCTTCCGGAACAATTATCTTGAGCAGCAGAGCTTTGCCTGGCAAAACTTTCAAGAATATCGTAGTAAGAATTGTATCTCTAACTCGGATTGTCTTCTTAGTTCAAAAGGTTTGAATGAAAAATAGATTTTTTTTTTCTTCTTACAATGAAAATAATTCTATCGTGAACACAAACTCAATTATTTATAAAATACTCACCCCCTTTGCCAACTTCAAACTACTCATAGGCGTAGCTAAGGTTTTTTTTAATATGGTAACTTTTATGCTCATAAATTTAATTAGAAAGTTTTACATCTCATTTCCGAGTCTTTGGCGCCATTATATATCAGAGAACTACAACCAAATATACCCAAACCGGGCCTATAATTTAAATACTCAGGTCGGGTCTATATTATCGCCATTATAGATTATAAAAAATTTAATAAAATCCGGGCCGGACCTGAAAATATGAAACCCGGTCGGGCCATATCCGGAAGATCGTTCAAATGGTACCTCCTGTAAAAAATAATTTGTAGTTTTCACCTTTTCCTTTTAGTAAATTTTGAATTATAGTCATTAATAAATTCTTAAACTCAAAACTTATTCTTTCTTTCTTAAATTTTTTGTAGCTATATATTTGATTAAATATTTTTTTAGAGGAGAGAGGGTGGGTATAAGTGTAGTAATTTTTTTTTAGAATATTAGTTTAAAATGATAATTACGGAAGCGGGCAAATTTTCGCTACGCGTATGAAAGTTAGGCCTAAAAAATTGAGTTTGTTATTACCTCCGCTTATTTATTTTTTTTAAACAATAGTATAATCCGTCACATTTTATAATATCTCAAATGCTCATATACTGAAAATCTTTTCGCCCATATATTACCGATAATGTAGCCTTAAATGAAGAAGAGATACCGGATGTTTTAACGGAAGAGGCCTCGAAAAGGATATTACCCGATTCGGTCGGCATTCCAGATAACCCAGTCGGTACCTCGGATCATCTGCATCTTGAACACAACCACCCGAGCACAACCAACCCAGATTCACGGATAATTAGCCTAAATGCTAACATCAGGATGCCTTCCAAGCCTATCCTATCTACCCCTTCGTCCAAAAGCAAAGTTATGGCTTCAGGTCATAATAAGAAAAGGGTAACGTTTGCCGATGATGTCGGACAAAGTTTGGTATCCATCAGAGTTATGACCGAAGACTCAGAATGTCCACCTGAAAGTATATCAGCTAGAGTCTCTCGTGACGATCCTACGAATGTTCCTACTAGCATTAGGTCTGTTTCTGATCAGATGTCTAGAATGAGTCTCAACTCTCCTAGTGTAAATCCTTACCAAGTAATCAATGTGGGAAATTTTCCAGGAAGTACTTATCCCGCCACTTCACCACACGTTGTTCCTTTGCAATCCTCTTCGATTTCTACTACGGCCACCAACTCCACCCGTACGGTCTCGACCATGTGGATGCCCCAGTTCCATTCTCCCAACTCCGATTATGCCAAATTTTGCCTGAAGCTTGAAACTGATCTCTTATGTTTGGAATCTGTTTTCATAACGTCAACCACGTCTTATCATACCCGTACTACCTCGACATCTTCTCCCTCTATCTCTAAACCAATCAGTTGCTTGAAGGGCAATGTTAAAGTTAACAGTGGACATAATACCGCTATCGATAGTCGAATGGTGTTCGTACGGGTCACCTTTGATGTCTGGAATACATGGATCGATTTGCCTTGCTCATATGTTCCAACGCCATTGGCAAGTCATGGCAGCGACCAGCGGCTGAGTAAATTTGACAATTTTGAATTCAGAATACCTCTACCTTCAATTTCTATTCCACACGATGTCTCAGAATCTTCCGGCCAGCAGGAAAAGAAGGTTATGGAATTCGCCATATGCTTGAAGTACCCTAACTCAGAACATTGGGACAACAACTACGGGAATAATTACAGAGTATCCCTAATGTCTGGTGCCGACTTAACGCACCAAAGTGTGTCTTCACGTTTGGATACAATATCCAGATCCAGAAGAGGATCTCTCCCTTCTGAGATGAGGAACGACAGAGACGGTGACACCTATTTCGCCGTTTGGGATCATGTCGACACTGAAAAACCTTTTTGGTGAATTTTAGAGTAACTTATCCTTACTTTTTCAAAATATTTGTTTGTACACATCGCTTCGCCCATAATACATATATCCGCTCTTTCCCCTCAAAAAGAAAAAAAAGTGCTATTAAATTGCTTATATGACTAAAATCTGAATTCGTTTATCAATCGTACTTCATTTTTGATTGACAAATATTTCATTAGTTATTTTGACACACCTAAAATTGTATAATTTTTTCTTTATTTAATCTGATTACATTTAAATTCAAAGTATTATTGACGTTTTATAAGATTTTCATGTTTTTTTTATATTTATTTAAATTGAACCTTTCTCAAAAAGGGGGTGGTGTCTTTCGTGGCATAAATGTAATTTTAATTATTTAAGTTTATGAATGTTAAAAATAACTACTAACTTTCAAACATTTTATTTGGTGCTTATTTAAAATTATATAAAGTATAATAGTAAACAGAGATGATTTTTCTAATATTTATTGGCATTCTTATCATTAATTCTTCTTCTGTCCTTCATTATTAATTTTCTAATATATTTTTCAATTAGATTTCTAATAAATAATAATATATTTCTTGTATATATATATATTTATATATATTAAAAACTAAAAATTATAGTTTATTTATATTTAGAAAGTTGATTTTTTTTGTTGACATAACACCTCATTTCAACAATAGTATCTATTGTGCATTGGCAATCAATCCCTATAGGAGATTTTATTATTTCAGTATAGTTTATATATATAAATATATATATATCTTTCAAATTTTAATTATTTAAAATTATCATTAATTAAATGATTATGTTATGGTTTATTTAATATTAAAGGTTAGTTAATTTATTTTTTGGCATAACACCCCAATGTAATAGCAATCAATCCCTAGTGGAGATTTTATTATTGCAGTATATTGTATATTTATATATAAATTTAATATTGAAAATTATCATTTAATAAAATGAGTATTATAAAGGTTATCATTCATTAAATATTATATTATTTTTGTCAAATTTTCGGATAGCCAAGATAAACGTAATAATTTTTGCTATTTGTATTTATTTAAATAATATATTTTTTTTTTAACAAAATTGATATTTTTTATATTTTTATTTTCTATGTTTCCCATTTTTTTATTAAAAAAGATCTAACGTTTTTATAATTTTATGACTACACTTTTTTTTTTATAAATCGTCCAAATAAAAAATGTTTCTAGAAAAAATAAAGATTGGCATGTGTGTAAGGGATATATTTTTATAAATTTTACGTATCGTAAAATGTAGCATCATTTATTAAAATGCATTTTGAAGGTTCTCGAAATACTAATCAGCTGGTGACACGTCATTACAATGGGTCGGGCACCGGGCATCTAAAAAGTAGATACTAAAATCATTCATTCACTAATACGATATCCTTTTCCTACATTTTGTGTTTAATTTGCTATTATTATACCCGAATTCCTCATCTATACTGGTTACTTCCCTATTGGGATATATTTCTGGATTTTAAAATCCCTAGCCGAGCGGAAAACCTTAGCAAAAAAAATGGAACCGGGCTGGGCTTAAAAATTTGCTGCCATACCTCTAGTACGCATAGAAATGAATGAGTCATCAGTACAGGTATTATTAAAAGTCATTGGGTAACATTCAACTTATATATATAGATTGTAGCCCTCCAGAGGACACATTTTCGGGTCCGGTTCTATCCGTAACGATCAAAAAAAATCGAAGAAATGGATTTGAGAAGAGACGTGATTATTTTTCAGGTATAATGCGTGAAAATTACGGGAAAGCTACGCGGTGGACATGTCTAAAATATAGATGAACCGGTAGCTCGAAAAATTGGAAAATATTTACGAATCTTATTCATAACCATATTTTTTTTTGTAATAAGTATAATATAATCGATAAAAATGGTTAAATTATCATAGTTGGTGCTAGTGTCGTTAAAAAGCCCGGCTAAGATTTCAGCCGGGATACAATGTATTCCTCTAGATTTTACTCGGAGGATTTGACATCTATTCGCAAAATATCGAGTTCAAGAATAAATAACCCGAGCGGATACCAGAAAATAGATGCGGCCCTGTACCGATAGAAAATCTGACCCATCTAGTATTGTTATATGGCTCGATTTGGGCCAATTTTTTTTAAAAAAAGGCTAACTCACTATTTTATCCAGAAACATCTCACTCAAGTCTGGATGTTTTGCTCGCTCGTAGATGGTACAAAGGTTTGGACATCTAGTAGCGAGGAAGCTCCGGCAATATTTTTTTCTGGCAGAAATATTGAGTTAGCCGTTTTGAAAAATTGGCTCAAATCGAACTGTTTAACAGCAATAATTGCATCTCCAGAATAATAGATTTAAGCACAAATCAAAGGGCATTAGATAGGTTTATCCGAAAAGTGTCACATTTTACATTTCATCCCTTCTGCAGATGAATAAAATTTCTTTGCTTTCCGTGCTTCCATATTTAACCTAGCACTTAACCTAATTTTTCCAATTCAGTAAGCCAATATTCTATTTATACGGTTTAAACTATGCAAGAAATTAGTGACGAATTCAATGGATTTATTTAAAAAAGTTTATTCTTTCGTTAGAGTCCCAATCTCGACTTTAGAAAAAATAAATTACCTGAATATGCATCATAAATAAAGTTAGAAAAAAAGAAGAAATTTTATGATTCTTCTTAATAACTCGCACCTGATTAATAGATAATTTAAAGGCAGACCTCAATTATAAACTTTAAAATATGATAGGAATTAAATGGGGACCCTTAAACTTTTCAACATATGTATTTACGTAGAAAGTGCTCTCTCTCTGAGCATTCACTATGTAAGGTCCTTGATTTAAAATTTTTCATTCGGGTCGGACCTCTGCAACAATTTTAAATTGTTTTGTTTTCCTAATGACTTTATAAATATGCTTTTCACGAAAGACCTATCTTTTTTTTATAAAAAAAATTCCTTCCATCACTTAGACTTGTCCGGTCGACATATTTCTCAACAGTTGACTTCGACTAAACCTAAAAATGCGAGAAAAAAATGCAATGCCAAGCCAACAATCGCATAGGGCGTCCTAGTTCAAAAGCTGTATAGCCTTGGCCAAATAGAGATAAGCGTCAAAAATTCGAACCAGGACATGTCGCTTAGAATTTTTCTGCCTTTTTAAAAAATTAAATTTGTTTTTTCACGATCTCGTAAATAAAAGGATCTGGATCTTCAAAATCGAATAATTAAGATTATTTATTCATTACAAGAAAGTAAAAATTTATTCTATAGAAAATAAAAAGGATTTTAAAAAATTGAATTGAGTAGATATAAAATAGAAGCGACCGTGTTACAAGCAGGAATGTGAACCCTTTGAAAGAAAGGGTCCAAGTCCGGTTACAGGAATAAGCTAAAAGGACCCGGGTTCGGGTTCAGGGAACATAAAAAATATGACTCAAAATAAGATTTTTTTTCATTCATTTATTATTATACTTCAAAATATACATGTTCATAATTACAAATGAAAATTTAAAAAATGAAGTATTTTATATTTAAAATCGCACAATCATAATATCTTCTAAAATATCATCCTTGAGATTTCCACGTAAACTAGACAATATATATTTCAAAGATGAAAATTCACGTTCTACCCTTACCTAAAATAAATAGTTATCTTTATAAAATTATTGTACCTGCGATGCCGATACAGCCATGAAGATTCTAGATAAGTTATATAATTCTAGATATATTAAAAAAAAAATTCCCAGAATTTTAAAATATTTTTATCCTTATTTATTCTCTCTGAGAACTTTATTATTAGAGATGCAATAAACATTTTTATATCCTCTCCTTTCTATCTGTTGATAATTTGATTTTTTTTTCTATCTAAAAGTAAAATTTCAAGATCATCAATGTTGCTATCATTATTATTATTATCACTACAATCAGTAGGTATGGTCGTAGCCTCCAATATATTGTAAATAATGGCGTATAACATAAATCTCTAAGATGGTCTTTAGCCATTGGTTTTTGCTCAATACTCAATAAAACTTGATATCGAGGGTCTAAATATATAGAAGCTTATACAACACTATTTTGCAAATATTGTTTCTCTCGAATTTTCAGTTTTCTAATATTTCGCATAAAAAGGATTGTAAATTTTTCTAAATTCAATCGGCATCTAATCCTTATGCCATAAAAATCAAATAAACATAATTGTTCTGATTGTAATCTTAATATTGTTATTTTAAAGGAACTAATACACTAGTAAGATCCTTTATTTGGCAAAAATCATCTTCCGACAAAATAACTTTACATGCTCCTATAATAAAATCATAACAGAAATCTTTCAAACTTAATAATCGTTCTAGCATCATACAAATTGAGGACGAACGTGTTGTGCTTTATCATTTAAATTAAAATATTATTACACAATTCACTTTAAAAATAATCAACTTATTTCTATAACATAGCATATTTAAAAAATTTACATAATAAATTTTATTTCCTACACTAGTGATATCAATTTCTAAATTAAATGGAAGTCCAGCAAGAAAATTGTAGGAAAAAAACGAAGATAAAATAAATGATTCCACAAAAAAGTCAATAAAATTTACAAAAATTTATATTATTTTTTAAAAAAATATTTTTATTTTTAAAGATTTTTTATGACACCTAGAACCCGTGTCGGACCATCCATAGGGTCCGGGTTCACCTCCTTGGTTACAAATTTATTTAAAAAATATATTATAAGAAAAAGTTTATATATATATAAAATCAACTTTAAAAAAAATATTAATTACGCATTGATAATTGCTTATTTATCTAAGGTACCATTCCTTTTTATACCGCTATGGTAATATATTTAAAATATTATCCACATTTTGTTCGCCCATATCCAAATCGATAATAAAATTTATTTCACTTCTTTGGAGTAGGAAATGAAAGTTAAAAAAAGTTCCTAATTTCCCCAACTAGGGATACATTTAACTAAAATAGATGTAGTTTCCAATATATTTAAATAATTTTCAAATTTTATATATTACGTAATATTGTTAAAATAATTTTTATATGAAAATACTTAGTTCGTAGCGGAACATAATTTTTTTTAAAAATCGAATAGATTTTCTTATTCACATTTTCGAAAAATTGGCGGACAAAAAAAAGAACAGATGTCAGGCTCTAATTTTCTGGGTTTAACACTCTCAATTGGCATGTAACGAATATTATAAGTTCACCACGTCTCGATATTAAGATATTATTATGTATAAAATACCATTACGATTTATAACGCGGACCTTGAACAATTTAAATAACATCATATGGATCTCAAAGATTTTATTTTCTCCTTTCAAATCTTGAATACTTTTGACGGAAGATTTTTTCAAAAAAAAGGGAAAAACTGAAAACAATTTTATTTTTAATTGTCTTAAATTGCAATTCAAGATATTATTTTTAACTTTTCAAGAACCGTACAAAAAAAAGAAGAAAATTTGCCATATTTTTTTAAAATTTGCGTTCATAAATTTTAAACTTTAAAAAAGAGGCTAAGAATACTAAATTCAGTGTGTTATTATGCAAATTTAATTCATAACGTATCCATATCTCGCTTGTAAAAATATGATGAGAATTATATAAATATATGTTTATTTTAACAATATTTTGCAAGTTCAAATAATTTTATTTTCTAGTGAATTTAAAAAAAATATATGGAAATGTTTTTCATCAAATCTGGTCAGCCACTGCAAACTTAAAAGAACCTTATAATTTATCGTTAATATGGCATTTTTTTTTATTATCGATAACCATTTATTTAGAAGCGGCTTCCAAAAGGAGAATATTAGTAAATTGTATATCTCTAAACCTCCCCCCGAAGTTATAAAAGATAAATTATTAATTTCGTAAGATAACGAATCCATAAGGTAAATATACTCATTCTTCGTTTATGCACATAGTATAACAATATAAATTGCAAATATAAGTATACAAAGAGAATAAACTTTCGATATTTAAAAATAAAACATATTTGAAATTATTATTACATATATATACACATAATATTATAAAAATTTTTATATTTGTGGTTAACAAACATGAATGGATAAGGGAGATCGCACTTTTATTTCCTCGATATAGTAAAAGGAGGGTTGAGGTAAAATATATATAAATTAGGTAGAGTCTACTCTAAGAAACATAATCCATTAACCCATTTTCTTCGATTATCTAAATTTGTCAAAAAAAAAGAAGATAATATAATAAAATCTAGTGTTGTTAAACGGCTAACTCAATATTTAAGCCAGAAAAGGTTTATGCAAAACTGAAGATTTTGGTCATAGATATCACAAAGGTTTATACATCTATTAGCGAAGTCTCGAGGCTTAGGCAAATCCCGCAGTAGTGTGTCAAAAACGGGTAACTCAATATTTTATCAAGTTTTTCTTTAAAACACTCCCTTTCCCATCTTAGTTCATCACACATGGCATTTGTATAGTGGAGCCCAAAACCTATTTTTTTCAAAAAAAAATCTAAAAAAACGAAATGGAGCATAACCGCTAAACATTGCGCTAAGACACCTTGATCATGATTAATTTCTTTCCATATTTCGATCAGTTTTTTTGCAAATTATGGGTTTGTTCAGGATCGGCAATTGAAAGTTGCAAATATATTTCAATTTCGGTTATTTTTGAATAAATTTATAACCGGTTCTTTTTGGTTATAACGGGTTATTTTTAACTTGAATATTTTTTTTATGATCGCGCCATGATTATATTTTATTTTTAATTGGCCCAAAATAACGTAAAAAATTATTTTTTTAAAAAAATTTTTAAAGAATAAAAAAATCAAACAAAAAAATATTCTTTCAAAATATAACAAAATATGGAAGTTAATAGAAATGAAACAAAAAAATTTAAAGAAAAAATGAATTTTTATTATAAAACAATGAATAAGAAATTTCGCAACATAACATCATATCCATATAAATTTGTAGGAATTAAAGAATAAAAAAATCTATATTTTTTTTTAGTATGCCAATCATTCATAAATAAATATAATCTCAAAAACTGCTTTGAACCAGTTGGACCAGTATTAATAACCGTTTTCAGATTTCTCCTTTTCGAAATATTCTTATAACAGTTCGGTTACGGTTCGAAAAATTATACCAATTTATTTCAGCTGGTCGGTTCGGTTTGACACCCTACCTTTTCATCTAGATTATTTTTTGGAATCTGATATTAATACCCAATCAATATTTTGTCGATTAATATAAATATAGTGTCTACACTGGCAAGCTTCCAGATGGTTGATTATGATTTCGTAGAATGTTGTTTGATAAGTCGTACTCGTAAGTTTGAGAGAATGGGATTACTGAGAAATTGGAATCTCTCAATTTTCAAATAATTTACCAAATGAAAATTTTAAATCTGAAAACTTCGTTCCAAACATCTGCTAAAAAAAACTTACTTCCCCTATTCCAGATAAATTTTGCAGCTGAACTTTATAGATCTATTCAATTTTTTATAACTGGTGTTGTTAAAAGTAAAACCTATTACTGGAAAATTTTTAATGTAACTAGTTACTTTTTAAATAGACCTGTAACTGTAACAAGTTACATATAATTAATAATAACCAAATAAATGATAAAATTCGCGAAAATTTACGGTGTAATTGTCTCATAATTAGGGTATATTTATCTTACAAAAGCTGGAGTCAATATCCCATAAAATGAGATTTTTTGAAATTTTAAAGTTGCCCATCGCAAGTGAAAATTCTAGATAAATGGTTAATCCAGAAAAACTTGGACTTAAAAAATAAATTCTTATGATTTGCATCATTTCTTGGTTAGGGTGAGTTTTAAAAAAATACTAGAATATAGATAAAAATGATATGATACATATAAAATTAATTTGGAAAGCTCATCATTACGATTTAATTTTAGACCAGATGCCAAACAAATCAATACCAAAATAAACTATCAAAAATTTTAAAATAAACTTTATCAATTTCTTATCTCAACGATTTTGAAAAAGTTTAAGGGAATTTCGAAATACTGTCAGCTAAGTTGAACCAATCATGATCCATAACGCCACGATACTTTGAAGTGCAGCAAGGATCAATTGGCACAGCCTAAATATGGCTCCCTCATAACTCGTAGAAGCTTTCTATTCACATCTCCCATTCAACTCTAAGCCACTTATTTCTTTTTTTATTTTAAGGCAAATATAAACTCACACTCTTTCGCCTATACATTTTAAAATGATAGAACCAAAATATTGTATATCAATCGCAACCTTATCTCGTATTCCTAAAGCTGCTCACCCTCCCCCCCCTCACCAGATTCAAATCGTCCAAAAAAAACTCCTGTTAGGTCGGTAATTTTGCAAGAACTTCACTTGGACATGCATATTATAAAACTTAAAGCTTAATCACCCTATTTAGAATTACCAGAACTCAGCCTAAAGTATCCAGGAAATCTAGACTCTTAATATCCGGACAGGACCTAAAATGGGAATTTATAAAATTAAAAATCGGGCAAGAGTAGAAAAAAATTCAACCTTCAAAGGTCTCTCGTTACATACTTAAAAAAAATTTAAAATAAATATATAAGCATAAATTTGCCGTATAACCCCCCACTCCACCCGTTCTTTAATATGACAATCTTGGGCTAACGGCTTAAAAGGCACTTTTAATAGGGTAATTTTAATTGCAAAATTAATGCACGTGATTATTTTCTTTAATCATCTTGATATATTTTACATTATCAGTGTTTTTTTAAAAACCTGGGTTCAGTTTATTCTAACAAAAACTACTAAATCAAGAGATCACCTAACAAATATTGCCTAAGCCTCCAGATGAGGCCAGAAGAGGGCCTACCGCCATTTTAAAACGAAATCTCGATGCTTAGGTAATATTTGCTCGGCGAAACAAACACATTTTCTATGATTTTTTATTTATGCTTCCACGATTAATTAAGCTTATAAGTATTAATTATCGTTTAAAACAAAAGTCAAGAACTCACACTCTCCGTAATATCTTCTCGAGTAATTCCGCCCGCATTTCTAGTCGAGTCAGTACCCACAAAGACTCTCCTTTCCAACAAAACGTTCGTTACTTGAGCCAATTTTTCGTCGTAGTCCACGTTGTCCTCGTGTCGATTCCCTTCTAAGATTTCATTGTTTTCGGCCGAGGGGTAAAGAGGGGCGACGGAATAAGCCTTAGCGGATCTTAGTACCTGAACCAGCAGGCTCACCACTCGGGGGTATAAATCCTGCTTGAGAGCGCAGAGGTCGGAGCATCTGTCAGGATCTTTTGACATGAGGTTAGCAATGGAAGCGGGAACTAACTTTTGGTTCGATGTGGATATTTTTGAAAGAATTGAAGAAAAGGTGGAAAAAAAATACATATTATTATTTATCACTCATCCTTCATTCACAGTTAGCGAGAATTCGCGGAGGCTAACTATGAATGCAGGGCATCGTTAATAAATTTTTTTTTGGTTTAAAGAAAGAAAGAAAGAAAGAAAGAAAGAAAGAAAGAAAGAAAGAAAGAAAGAAAAGAAAGAAACTTCCCATTCTTTCTTTACGATAGAATTAGGGTATAGAGCTGCAAAAACAATGTCTATTTATTTTTTAGAAGGTAAATACATAATAAGTTTAGATCATGATTAAAATATATAGTTTTTTTTCTTCTAAATTTGGAATGATCAAAATTTCTTCCCATTTTTTCCCCTCATGGGAACACAAAAAAATTAATACAAAGACCGGAAGGAGGCTGAAAAATATAAAAACGGATCGGAATGAAATTAGAAAGTTCATAAGAGATCTTTAAATTCATCTCAGTTGCGCGTAATACTTCATAGTTCAAGAAGTAGGATTAATAGACGGCTATATATTACTTTCTCGAAAAGTAAAAATGGTCGGACCCTCAAACATGGCGGAGGGTTACGAATCGATTGCGTCATTAAAATCTCATGGGATGGTACCTCCTTGGGCAAGCTTACATAGTCAGTATCCATTTATAATTAAATTATTGTATATATTTTAATTATTGGAAGTGAATGGGTCGACGTCACTGGCGTAGGGCGGATTTAGAGTTCCACTGGAGGAGACATATTGGGACATACAATTTTACCTCAGGCACGCGGGGACAAAGCTCGTAAACTTTGTTTTATATTGTTGTGAATATGATCGCGGTGTTGGCGAATAGTGTGAGTAAACATATCCCTCGAGAAAGCACGGAATCACAAAAGTTAGGGGGGGGGGAGGTTATTTGGAATCATCGGCCAACCAAACCCTGAATCAAAAAGGCAGTAAAATTGAGTAATTATATTGTAATAGTTCTATATTTTCTGTATATTACTTATTACTGCTCTTTTAAGTATTATATTTTTTTCTATAAAAGGTATTGCAGATTGTTAATATAATTTTATATATATTTTTTACATGTCTATCATAAACTATTTTTTTTAAAATATAGTTTATAAACATAGAAACCCAACGGACTGTCTGTTTTAAGAGAGCATTGCATCTGTTATGTCAGATTGAACGACTGCTAAAGATGCATTGGAGACAATGACAGCCAGTTTGACTTACTGGCTTCTTACACTTGGCGCAATCATATGAGACTGAGGCAGTCACATTTAAGCGAATGGCTACTGCAAAGCTGAATTCTTAGTTAGACAGCTCGAGTTTTAAAGGGAATGGCGTCTAGATATTCATATCCAGAACCTTGGTTGAGAGAGGCTAATAAGGCTTGATCTTAAGATAGCAGGGTCTAAAAGAGGTAATAAACGGACTATACAATCATCGGATTATCCCAATCCTTTTGTTTATGGGAGGCTGGAGGTTGGCATTCATCGCCGACTGAGACTTTCCATGTGATATAAGCTTCGTCAAGTAGCGCATCTGGCAAGGATAGTAAATGATGAGTTATTATTTTGGAACTTGCCAATCTAGATGAGATGAAATCACTAATATGGGTGATTATTTTTTCTATTATGGATTCATGCTTTTAAAGGTTCAGGATATTTAAAAATAGCCGTTGACCGTAAAGCCTAGAGGATATTCGGTATATTGAAGAAATTTTTAATTAAAAAAAAAGATTTAAGTGTGTGAGGCTGTATGAGTAGCCTCCATATTGTTTAAATTATTAGAAGTAGCTTGGAAAAAGGCTTCAACCGCTAAGTTAACTCAAACTGGTGAGCCAAGATGTGTTAGTTCTTCGGCCATAACCTTTTAAAAGGCGTGGCAGTTGGGAAATTTAGAGGTGAGCTGACAATTACTTCGACCCTGCTATCTGAAGATCATGCCTTATTAGCTTCTCTCAACCAAGATTCTGGATATAAATACCTAGACGCCACTCCCTCTAAAAAATTTTACCCCGAGCTGACAAACCAGGAATTCAACTTTGCAGTAGCCATTCGTTTAAATGTGACAGTCTCAATCTCATATGAGTGCGCCAAGTGCAAGAAGCCAGTAAGTCAAACTGACCGTCATTGCCTCCAATGCATCTTTAGCAGTGGACGTTCAATCCGACATAACAGATGCAATGCTCTCATAAAAAGTGTTTTACAGTCCGCTGGATTTCCTGCCACTTAGGAACCCCCAGGTCTCTTTACTGATGGGAGACGACCCAATGGAATTACACAAATTCCTTATAAGAATGGCCGATTTCTAGCATTGAATTTCTCCTGCGTTGACCCCCTCTCACCCTCCAACATGAATAAGGACATTTTAAAATACATAGAAGATTTTAAAACGAACAAATATATGGATATTCCTGATGAATATAAATTCGTACCAGTTGTCACTACAACATTAACATCCTTTGGAAGCTAGGATCTTAACCTAATTAAAAAGCTTGGCAGAGCCTTGAGAGCTAAATCAGGAGACCCAAAAGAAGGCGTCTTACTTACGTCAACGCACAGAAATTCAGATTATAAAATCTAATTTCATATGTTTCATGCGCTCATTCCCCGAGCAGCCGGAATAATCTAGATCTTTTCTCTTCCCTTAATTATTTAGAATTTTTTTTTCTTCTTCCTCACATAATCATTTGAATTAATTATGATTATATTTTTTTAAAAAAAAATACCATTATGTGCAACAAGAATTAATTATAATATTTTATTGTAATCTTATTTTTTTTTAATTTATTACATTTTGATATTTTAATTTTTATTTCGGAAAAATACAATCTATTGTATAATAAAATAAGAAAAATTAGATATATGCAAAAGTAGGCCCGGACCGGGCAGGTCGGGCCTTGGAAATTTTTATAAAATATATCTGAATTTATCAATTTTAATGTTGAATTTTATATGAAAATAAAAATTATTTTGATTTTATTTATAGAAAGTAGACGCCATATAACACATATATATCTTTTATTTTGAGTAATTACAACGATTAATTTCTATATTTAAATAAATTCGGGCCGGATAAAAATTTAGGGCCGGCCTTGAAAAATTAGCCTCGATGGCAGATGACTAAAAGAAATAACTCAGTTGATATTTCCACACCTTTTCAAAACATGTAAATTTTTTTTTTTTCTAAGATTTTGAAATAAAATATATTTTATGAAAAAACTCCGAAAAACTATTAAAATAAATAAAAAACAGTTTAATTTTTTCAGAAAGAAATATAGAAAACTTTATCGTCGGGTAGTGACTCATCTTCGACGTCATCAGTTAACCATCCGGCTTTGGTGGGGAAATTCACGATGGAAAATAAAATTTCGGCCGTGTTCTGTAAAAAAAATGATATTGTAATAAAAAAAAATTATGAATGGTATATATTAAAATATATATTACCTCAGTTTTGATCCTAAAATTATTGAGCCATTTATCCGCCTCCGCTCTCAAATTTTTCCGTTCCGTTTCCGCGGCCACTCGTTCTTGCAACCCGATGGCGATATCGACTATCGTCTTTTCGCGATCCAATAAGGATTCGAATTTCGCAGATAAATTTTCAGATTTTTGGTAGTGTTCCAGCCATTGGTCGAAGGAATGGATGGACTCCTTTTCGATCGCAAAAAATAAATTAATCATATATCAAAAAAAAATATTTGTATTTTTAAAAACATTTTTTTTGTCTATAAATTATGAAACAAATTTGAATTTGCGTATTAGAGATTGTCGATATTCGATAGTCAAATAGTAAGTATTGTTAACCGGTTCGATTTGAGCCAATTTTCCAAAAACGGCTAACTCAAGATTTTAGCCGCAAAAAATATTGCCTTAAACCTTGAGATTTAGTTAGATGTCCAAACCTTTGTCATCCAGGAGCAAAATCTTCAGGGTTGAAATTATATTTTTTGGGATATAGTATAGAGTTCGCCGCTTTCAAAACCGGACTCAAATCGAACCGTTTAGCGACAGTAGTCACACTAGTCTTAATAAATTTACGAAGTTCAAGTTATTATTAAATGACTCCTAGAATTAATTTTTTATAAATAAATTTAATTATCATAACCACACTCCATTACAGCGAATTCCTGAGTAGGCGCCTATAATGAAATATATTTCGATCATCCTCGTGTAACATAAAAATAAATCTGAACCTTATAGAAAGAAAAATCGTCCCAATAAAACATTGAACCGGGCCTATGTAAGTGTCAGAATATATCGTTAACCAAAATTTTTTTAGTATTCATTAACTGCAAATACTTTTTCTGACATTAATTAACGTTTCTCCAAAAATGATTGACGTGGTTAAAAAGTTACGAATTCACTTATTATTACATACAATACAAGGTTAGTAGTGTTGTTGAAAACCTCGCTTTAACACGTAAAACGAAATAAATCGCGAGCAGATACAAGTTATCAGAGTTGTTAAAGTATCTAAATACAAAAATGCAGTATTTGTATCTAGATACTAAAAATATTTAGACTAATATAATAAATATATATATAAAATTTAAACTTACATATGAAAAAATATATATATAAAATTTAAACTTACATATGAAAAAATATATATAAATATTGATTAAATATTATTTTTTATCTATAGATATTATGCTCAAGATTGTGAAGAATATTTTTATCATATAAAGAAATATATAAATCCTTGCTTAGTTATGACGCCCATTAATTATTAAAAACAATATCAATTGATGCACAAAATCATTTTTAAGCAAATAAATTTATTGGACGACAACTTGTTCAAAAAAACGATAAAAATAAGGGGGGTATAGACATTTTTTATACAAAATATTAAAATGTTGTTCGCGTATTTTGTGCTCTAATGAGAGTTTCTGTTCGAGAACAACGGCGAAGCCTGTATACAAGTATAATAATAATAATTGTATCTATATCTAGATACATTTAAAAAATAATATCTGTGTCTAAATACATTTAAGGTGATGTATCTGAATCTAGATCCATTTAAAAAGTATCTTTTAACTACACTGCAAGTTATAATACCTAAAGACAAATAAGAAATTTTTAATATTTTCCTCTGCCACACCTTATTTTATGCCCGTTAGGGCTTTTATAACGTTAATTAGTATCTTAAAAAAAGGATAAGGAATTTGGCAGATAAATCACTCGGAAGGATCTTACTTCCGCTAAAACAAGGAACATGATGTAATCCATGTTGGCTGCAAAATAAGTTGCAGCCAAGACTGCTTATTAGATGAGGAGGAGTTCTGGATTCAGTTCCGAAATTTCAGTACTAATCAGTAATCTTTACTATATGATACATAAGAAAATATTAAGAGATTTATTTACTCTTAATAAAAACAAATTAGAAAAATGAGTTTTCTTTTTATAAAATATACCGCGTTGGTAAAATATAGAAAGAAAGAAATAAAGAAAGAATTAGTATATATAATTTCTCACGATGTATTGTGCGTATCCAAAATTTTCGCCCAATATGTTCTTTACGATGCTGGGTACACGAGGGGTCTCTTCCAATCGCGATTCAACGAGAGTTTCCTGTTTTTTAAAAATTTTTAATATTCTATCGAATTTCAAAACCTAACATTATTTTTTCACTCTAGAATTTAAAAAAAAAAGCAAATAAGAATATGTTTATAAAAGTATAATTTAATGTTTACAAACAAAAAAAAATGTCTTCCCTTATAAGCTATTTAACGATTAAAAAAAATCTTGCTGGTGTTTATAAAAGATTATTTAATGTTTACAAACAAAAAAAAATGTCTTCTCTTATATTTATCTAACGATAAAAAAAAATATTGAGTTTATAAAAGTATACATTAATGTTTACAAACAAAAAAAAATGTCTTCCCTTATAAGCTATCTAACGATTAAAAAAAACTTGCTGGTGTTATAAGCCTACAACCCGACTAGTGTTGTTAAACGGTTTAACCCAATATTTTAGCCGAAAAATATTGTGCAAGCCTCGAGATTTTCGTTAACAGATGTCCAAACCTTTCTGCTTATCTATGAATAAAATCTCCAGGAGACATGAGTAATATTTTTTTTGGGCTAAAATATTGGGTTTATTAAACACGACCTACACAAGCAGAAAAAAGCTCCTGTTTTGTTCTTCACCAATTTTAGGGCTCAGTCTATTATTCTATTCACTTTAATTTTGTTATAGAGCTCCACTCGCAGCTTACAAGCGTTAAACTGATAATTTTCACATAAATTCGTGTACAAGAAATAGATTGGTGCATGGCTGGCTATACAGTATGTGGATTGTAACTGTAGTATTTTGGATTTATTTTCTATCAATCGGACACTTAGCTCCCCTGTGGAAATGGTGGGTGGTCCGCCCCTTGCGGCCAGTTTTGAATAACAATCATTTCAATAATTTGCGCTTTCGCGGTGGGTAATTCGTTTTCCCAAAATTAGCCCTTAATTAATGTGAAAGAAGGTTATACTAATTAGTACACGTTCCCATATGGGTATGGATAGCGGCTAAAATCGACAATAATGTTTTGTGAGCGGAAAAATTGCAGTGAAAAGTGATCGCTACAATTATTTACTCAAACATGTAAAAATATGTATACCTTTCCAACATCATTTTCGTATTGGCTAGCTATTCTGTCGTTGGCATCTTTGGGAAGCTTGGATAACACGCCTCTCGCCGATTCCATATCATCGCCAACTTTATACCCCAGTTTTTTTTAAAAAGTAATATATGCGCGATTATTTATGAGTTTTAAGCTATATGATTGACGTTCTTTTACCATATTAACTCTAACTAAGAGAAATACAGCCATCCACGTTTAATTTAAAAAAAAATAAAGTTTCATCATTTCGAACAGATGGTTAATTTATTCAAAATGGCTGAATTAAGGAGAATGCAACGGGAAGTGGGGTGTGTAATAGGGGAAAAAAAAGGAAATAAAAAAAAACAAAAATTACGTAAAAATTTCCGCGTTAAAATATTGGCTATCATGGTGGAATAAAGCGGAAAATGTTGAAGGAGCGATTCCTCGCAATAAGATGGAATGAGTATCCAATCAAGAGCGCCCAGTAGCTAAAGATAAGATAATATATAAAAAAAATCATCTAACCCCTCTCATTCATAGTTAGCGATTCGCGGGACAAATTCGTGACTAACAATTTCGCCGCTAATTCGGTAACTGTGAATGAATGCGGAGTAAAGCTTTTTTCTTTATTTTGCTTGACTCGTCTAATTTGGGCTCTGAATAAAAAGGGAGGGCAAATCCTTAATTTGAACAAAATTATGGGTTTCAATTAAAATTTCTATTTAGCTGCTATTTAAAAAAAAAATGCCTTGATAAATTGTACAAATGTATCTATACTTTGAAAAAAAAAGTGGGCAGATTTTTTAAATAACCCTTTATAAAGCGGGCATTTGTTGTTTCTTTTGTAGCATTCATTCATTTATATTTAAAAATTTTATCATCTTTTTTTAAAAAAATACTTATTTATGTCAAATAGAACAAATTAATAAAGAAGACAAAATGGAAAAATTTCTGATTCTTCTTACTGAAAGAGAATGTGGAAGAAGTATCATAATTATTGCCTGTGATTTATAAAAAAAAAGCTTAATATTTTAAACGAAATAAATATAATTGATAGATGTCATTCTGGTTCCAACGGTGCCCAAATTAGACAGGGACTGTATTAATATTCAACGACAACAAAAAAAAAGTTGAACTTCTAATTTATTTATTTTTAAATACTAAGATTGTGACCGGTCTGAATATAGCTATTATTATATTTTCAGAGCGCAATTAGAAGAGGTTCGAATTAAAAGGAAACACGTTAATAAAAGAGACGGTACTCATAAGGCACCGTTTTACGGTGGGGGAAATTTAGCACGTGATCGAGTCTATAAAATCGTTTTTTTTCCCTTTCCCCAAATCGCAATAAGGAAGTGTAATAGAATCAATTAGGAAGATAAAGGCAATTGGTAATAGAATTAATTGTTATTAAAATATATTTATTAATTGTTTGTGACAAATTTTTGTCAGTTTTCATTTTTTTATTAAATTAAATTGTAGACACTTTTTTAATGACTGACATCGAAAGCCTATTAGAGTTTTACATGTCATGTAAAGTGCAATTCTTCTGGAACCATTTTTAAACAATCTTTTATAGAAGGAGTCATTAATAAAATATTTGTAGTACAAAACCTCACTCGTATTATAAAAATTCTTGCTTTTATGATTGATTGATGTAATATTATATTGATTTGTAAAAGATACATAAACTGACGAAATTAATTTTAAAAAAAGGTACAATAAAATTATCCATTGTTTTCACGGATAGTTCAGGAAGTGCAGCTAAGAAGTTGTAAATTGGCCGAGGTACAAATGGTACCTCTCAGGTCTCTGTTTCACTTAGCACCCTTATTTAAATATTTATCCAAAATCCAGTTCCTGCAACCCAAAGTTAATTTGTATTATATTTTCGTATAAATATATTTAATATTATAGGTTAGCGTTATTGAAAAAAAAGATCTTCTATCAAATTTAAAATTCATTCTTTCAACGGCGAGGATTGAGGATGAGCGAACAACTTATTGGAAGATATTGTTATGATAACACGTCTAAATTAAATTTGTAATTATACCAAATTTATGTCTAGTCCATTTAATTACGAATTTTTAATATACGATTCAAATATTCCTAAACCCGAGTTGTACCCGGAACGAAACCCGAGTTCGAAAAAATTTAACTGAACCGAACCTAACCCAGTTAATTTTTTTTTACCTTGAACCAAACCCGTTTAATATTATAACCGGGTTTTAAAAGAGGTATCTTCATTCAAAATTAAGACCTAGTTTTAAAAGAGGTATCTTCATTCAAAATTAAGACCTAGTTTTTTTTAAAGGTTGGTAGATCCTCCTTTTACCATCGTATCACATTTAGACAAGATTTCTAACAACAATAAAAATAACTCCATCCCTTGAGAACCTATCTTTCTACCAGATGATTTACTTATAAAAAAAATCCCTCAAGAAGCTCATATATAATGGGATCTCGGGAGTTTTTTCTTTTTTAACCAATTTACAACTTCTTGCTTGCTTTAGAAAATAAATACGAATATGTTTTCGATCTCGACCAATCAGGCGTTCAAGAATTCCCCCATTTCTATTTAGTTCAATCCCATTTCCGTGTTTCTGTTGGATCTCCTAGTTGCCTGATGTGAGGTGGGATTAAGTTTATATTATATTTTAATATTATCAACTGATTTTTGGGCAGGTCACTTTTTATAGCTTTAGTCGTAAAAACTTCTTTTTTTTTCATTCATTATTTTCTTCATTTATTTTATAAGGGAAAAAAAACTTGATCTCTAGAATTATCAGATGACATGGCAGAGGACAAGGAATCCTCTAGGAAAGCTACAAAGATATTTTTCAGGTTTAAATTATTTTCCAGAGCTAGCACCAAGCATATCCTTCTATCTTCAAAGTCTAGTCCAGAAAAATCTAGATATTTTTTTAAAATAAAAAATTTGAATATTATAACTAATCGATGGAATGAGTCATCTTTCAGGAGTTTTAGGCTTAAAAAACTGCCTAACCTCTGAAACGGGGTTAGAATTTAAGAACAGGAAATCCTATTATTCTAAAAAAAAATTAGAAACCGGAAATGCTATAAGTCCAGTTTTAAAAATGGAGGAAAAAAATTCATAAAAAAAATTATTAAAATTTACCTCTTAAAAATGAGCAAAATCTTGTGGTTTGGTAAATTTCCGGTAAAAATTTGAGGTAGCCGATGAATAAATGAATGCTTTCGGAACGCATGAGATTCTATTTTTTTTAAAAAAAATAAAATAAAAAATAATATATCGATTAGAATTCGATAATGTGATGGGCAATTAAAATAGGAAACTCTTCAATTTGGGCAAAGATTTCAGTCCTCGAGGAGTAGCTAAAGTTTTTTATTGAGTTTTTTTTAAGGAAAAAAACAAACGATGTTTTTTAGGAAAAAAAACAAACGCTATTTTTTCGGGGAAAAAAAAGTAAACAAATGTTGTTTTTTTTCATAATTATGACTACAATGCTTGTTTAACAAATGCTAGAAAATGCTAATAGTTTATCGCAAATTTCTAATTATCACAAACAATCATGCTAAATATAATTGTAAAAATTTGATTCATTTTGTGACTTGGCCAATTTTTATTAAATGTGTGTTTATTAATTATAAACTAACGGTTAAATTTTTATCAGAGATCTCAAGGCCCGGCCCTAAGCCCGGGTATTTTTATTTATTTTTTTTAAAAATATAGCTGGGCTGGGCCTAATAAAATCTTTTATACCCGGGCCTAGCTGGGCCGAATATATTTTAAATCGTCATTATTATCTATAATTATTAAAAGATAAATATAACAAAGAATATGGGGAAGATTTAGATCCAAATAATATAGAACCGATGCCGGGCCATATGGTATCTCTGCAAGATCTCTGATTTTTATATTAAAAATTAATTTTTTAAAGTTTCGTTAAATAAATCTAAAAAGCTTATTTAATTTATTGTTTTGTTTTTTTGCTGTTTTCCTTCCGTTTTTATGTTTGAAAACAAATAGTTTGTTTCTCGTTTGGTATTTTTAAAAAAAACAACAAATGTATTGGGAAAAGTTCAAAATATTGTAAATAGTGACCAGACCTATTTGGACCATCTTATAGCTTTTTACTGGAAATCGTAAAATCGTAATATATATATATAATAATCAATAAATTATTAAAAACTTTTATATAAGAATCCGTTGTGGCGAAAACCGCGGGTTCTATCATGACTTCCTCTTCGTAGGGAGAAGAAATGGATCTATAAACAGCTGATAGAACCAATGATAGATGAGCCAAAAATCGGTGAACACTTAGGAGGTGGGTAGACGTGCTCTTCGTCGATTTCGAGATCTTGGATGAATCGAGGTTATCCTCCGAATACGTGAGGATTTCTGCTGAGCTATTTCGTAGAAATGCTAACAAACCTTTTTTTTGTTGTAAATGATTCAAAAAATAATAATTGACAAACACCAGAAACAATATATAAATTCAGGTAAATCCTCTCCCCCCCCCCTTCACACAAACAAAAATGATTCTGAAACGGAAGATGGCGGAGGATATTGTTCGAATTGGAGAGAGGACTGATCAAACCGGTTCTTTCCAGTCTAAACAAATCCAATTTCCCCATTTGTCTAGGCCAATCAAAAGTATGAGTGTAATATATTAGGGGAACATATGGTCTCTCAATTGTTGAAGTGCCCTAACTAGAAAATCATTGAAATACATATATATTTGTTTTTAGGATGATTTCTTGTCTATTTTCGTGTTTGTGTGAGTAAGTCTCACATTCTGAACAGGTGTTTAGCATGTTACAATTTGGTATATATATATATATCAGAGACCTGCAGAGGTATCATTTGTACGGCCCGGGCCCAGATTAAAAAATTTTCGGCCCGGCCCGGGTTTAAAAATTTTAGGCCCGGCCCGGCTCGAATATTTAAAAAAAAAATTTGGGGGCCCGGCGGCCTAGATTTAAAAAAAAAAATTTTTAGGCTCGGCTCGGAATTTTCAAAAATTATATTCGACCTGGTATATTCAAAAAATTTATTATTTCGTATTTTATTATATTTTTCGGCGAGTATTATCAATTAATAAGCAAGTATATTAGCTAATGTTGTTAAACGGCTCGTTTTGAGCCATCGAAATTTCGATACTATATGACTAGACCTTTGCTCCTTCTATGAGCAAAATTTTCAGGCTTGCATAATATTTTTCTAGATAAAACACTGAGTTAGCTGTTTTTAATAATCAGCTCAAAACGAGCCGTTTAACAACACTACTTTATTTTTTTTTTATTCTAAACAGATATTTAATATATTACAAATTGATACTATAAAAAAATTGTGTAAATAAAATTTTGAGAATATACTATGAATTTTTTAAAAAAATAAAAATGATATATTTAATAAAAAATATAACATATATTATATAATAATGTTTTTAATCCTTTGCGTATTTATTCCATGTCAGGAAAACTATAATTTTATTATGTAATAGATACTAAGAGTTTTAGCTAGTGTTAACTTTCACCAAACATTATATTAATCATAACTATATATAATCATTATAACCATATCTAATTGACGAATATAATAAATCATGTTGTATAAAAAAAAATTTAAAAATACGGCCCGGCCCGGCCCGGGTATTTTAAAAAAATATTTTCAGGCCCGGCTCGGGTATATTTTAAAATTTTAAAATACGGCCCGGGGCTTAGCCGGGCTGCAGGTCTCTGATATATATATAAAAAAATGGCGAAATAACTAAATTTCGCGGTTTTCGCTGGGAAGATTATAAGAAAGTTACGGCAGATAAATAATAAAGTATCGAAAAAATAATCTACCATTAAAATCGTTTAAAATGACGAGTTTTATGATTCGCCGGTATAACGTGCACTCAGATGGATCGATATCTGAATATATTATCGAATTAGTGTCGGGCAGCTTTGTATCGATAATCTCGAAGATTTCCTCAAAAGTGTGCCTTGGTAGTGTAAAATAAATAAATAACAGATGTAAGGATGATCAAAAATAAAAATCTGAGGTTTATAATTATTATTAAATATTCGTAAAATTCTTGGTCCAGTTTAGCCCGGATAAAAGGCTGCTAAGAGAAGATCGAACCGGACCTAAGACCGACAACGAGCCGGACACATCATTACATAAAATGTGGATTCCACCCAAAATGAATATAATAAGTTCGGGGGACTTAGCGGAAATGTTATCGAAAATATATACCCCCCTAACCTTATACAAGTTAATTGATATGTTAATAAAAATTATTTCCAAAGAAAAAATCCTTAGGGATATCGATTTACCCCAACCATACCAACGAAGCGTCTAAAAAAGAAGAGGGAATAAATAATAAAAAATTTTTTTTTAATTCACGGTTGCCGCCAAAAAGCTTCGGGCAAATTGATAGCGGAAGGATCTTGCGAATGGGTAAAATTACGCGTGGAGTCATAAACGGAAGGATTATTTTTCAAAATGGTTTCGACTTTCGTTTCTATCAGGGTCTTTGTAAAATATAAATAGTTTTATATGAGAAAAAAAAAGAATAGATTGAGTTCTAACCTAGAACATGTTTTTAAACGACTAAGGCCTCATTTACAGTAAACGCGTTATGTTATAGCGTTTCATTATTACAAAAATTAAGCCATTAAATAGGTTATAAATGTATTCAATATGGAGCGTTATGATGAAAACGCTGCGATAAAATTTTAAAAACATATGTTGCGATTGCGTTGATAAAATAATATATGCCACACGATTATAAAAAAATAATATCGAATTCGATAAAAAGGATATATGAAATTAGTTTTAAAAACTGAATCAGCTGTAATAACGATACGTTAAATAATGCAACACTTGAAAATAACGCGCTTACTATAGGGCGAATTGTAAACGCGTTATGTTCAAGCGGTGCGTAAAATTAAGACAATATATTATATAATACCAAGGGTTATGACGATAACGCTATGAATAAAAAAATATGCGATTACGGATTATAAAAATAATAGCGATATTACATTGTAAGTTCCTTATATTAACTTCTTCTTTTTTTTTTAAAAAAAAGCAGATTTTTTTTTTTATTAAATATTTGTTATAAAGCAGAAGATATAATATTCTTCTCTTAAACAGATTTTAAAAATCGATCAGCTGTTAAATCGTGATCGCAATGGCGCCCCTTTGAATTCAAGGTTAAAGGAAAAGAAAATTTTTAGTAATCGCAAAAAAAAGAAGTGTTATAATTTAACCTTTGTATAGGCCCACGAGATATCGTGCCAGCGTTCTTGATTGATGGCTGGTAAAATTCCTTTGACATTTCCACACAGGGCCGAATAAGTGGCCAATTCGTAAGGGTTTATTGTGACCTGGTTATGGTATATATATATATAAAAAAATTTTTTTTTAACTTTTTACTGCTAAGTTAATTTTGTTAGATAAAAAAATACACTGATTATACATTTTTTTTAAAAAAAATATCTGATTGGATCGGATCTGCCAGATTTATCTTTTTTTCTAACATCAACTTTAAATCATTTTTCGCGCCGGTTTATTTTTTTTTAAATTTTAAAATGATTCTACCGAAAATGTATTCAAAGCATTTTTAGAGGATCTAACTTATAAATTGCAGACAATTTTGCGGTTAACCTTTAAGTAATTTAAATAAAAAAAAATTTCTATGAAAAAACTAGTAAGAATTATATTAATTTCCGAAATTCGTAGGGTAGATATTTCGAACATGATGGAATTGGAATACATTTCTCGATAAAATCGAATTTTTAAATTTAAAAAAAAAACGCACTTTCAAAAAAAAAATGATTTAAAGTTGAAAAAAATAACACATAGCAAGAAATAACATATTGCCATATATCTTCTTCTCCGTTTAATAGGTTCACCCAATAATTCCTCGGATTTAATCATTAGTTATACAATTGGGTTTCTGACATTTTATTCCTCCATTTTCACAATAGGGAAATATATATATGGATAAATGTATACATAAAAATATTAGGAAGTTTATCCGTACATAATAATTATACTCATCTTACATTATAAAAAATATAAAGTATCTATATATTATCTATATATATAATCACCGTAATCAAGAAATGAACGTTATCGTATATCCTTAATGTTAATTTTTATTTTCATCAACTTTCCTATCTTCTTAATGTTAATTTTTATTTTTCCTATCAACTTTCCTATCTTCTTAATGTTAAATAAATCGATGGAGACTCTATCTCTCTAATGTTAAATTTTAAGAAAATTTTTTGTATATAACGGGATTCGAACCCATTACTTAACGATTTAAAGGCAAGCGTTCTTCCCGCTCATCCATCTTCTATATTAAATTTTGTAATATAATCTTTCTTATATACTTTATTATTTAGATTTTATTTTATATTTTTATTGGCTAATTAATCTTTATTTTTATTGGTTTATTAAGGTCTTATTTCATTAGTTTAAATTTATTTTCTATCTATTTTATTGGTTTTAATTTATTTTCTCTGTTTTTAATTAATAATCAACCATTTTTAATTAACGATCTTTTTTTAATTAACGATTTTTATAAGATCACCATCTTTTTTATTTTATAATCAAATTTATTGGAAAAGGAAAAATCCGTAATTAATAATCAATATTTTTGTTAAAAAATAAAAATATTATTTTATCCACTGATATATCATAAAAGGTTATATTGGTGCCTTTCTGATTGGAATCCTGGAAAAAAACCCCAGATTTTTTAAAATTCATATTTATAGAATTTACTTAAGACCTAATAATATAGGTATATTTTTATTTGGATTATAATAGATATACTCATATTTATAAGGTATAGACAAATTATTATTTTATAAAAAAATATAATTTATTAATATGTTAATTTTTTAGGCCCTAATTCTTTTTACATTAAAAAGAATAATTAATTACAATTTTTTGCAAGTCAAATAATTTAATTTATATATATATTAAAAAATATGGAAATATTTTGAATTAAATCTGCAAAACACTATAGATGATTATAATTTTTATTAATATTGTAAGGCATTTAGGTGATTATAATATTGTAAGGCATTTTTATGACTTAAATTAATAATCAACAAATATGTTAAAAAGAAGAATAAGTATATCTTATAATAAAAATATTATTTTTTTATCCACTGATATAGCATAAAAGGTTATATTGGTGCCTTTCTGATTGGAATCCTGGAAAAAAATCCCAGATTTTTTAAAATTCATATTTATAGAATCTACTTAAGACCTAATAATATAGGTATATTTTTATTTGTAAACTTATTAGTATTTTTAAAAAAAAGGATATTTAATAAAGTGTAATATCAATAAAAAATTTAATATCAAAAAAATTAACAACCAATATTTATATCTATTTCTTTGGTGGACCAATTTATTACATTATAAGGTATGTTTATTAGTAGCCAATATGATGTAAGCCTGAGATTTTGAGCATAAATTCAAGAAAGGTTTAGACCTTCATCTCAAATCTTACATATTTTTTGGCTAAAATCTTAATCGACCGTTTTTAAAAATAAACCTAAACCCGATGTTCAGCCCAATTTTTCTTATTAGAAAATAATCAAAAATGAATTAACGCGCAATTTTTTTATTTATTTTTATTATAGGTATTGAAATTATAAATATACTAATTGAAAATAAAATTATAAAAGTTTAAAAAAACAATATAACAACCCCCTGATAAATACTATAAGAATAATCAATATTATGTTAAATCCGTTTTTCACACTTTATTTTAGACAACAAAAAAAAATAATTAAAATTATATTTTATTTTCGGAATTTCTCATTTTGTTCAATAATTTTAAATGAATTCAATCATTATTTTTTGCAAAAAATAAAAATATAAATTTTTAAATCTATATTAAACATAAATAAACAAATTAGAGGTCTTCATTGAGGGGGATTTTTAACTGCCAACCCCACGCCCGCCTATATTTCTAGCGGTGGTCGGGTTTTTTAAAATATTTTTAACATTAGGTGGATGGCGGGCAGGTTAAAGCGGACATGGATGGGTAAATTTTTGACATTTTTTCAGGGGAATGAGCCAAATTTCCTTCAATTTATTAAAAACAAGAGTTTTATTTTATTCATAATATTGGATATTATATATGTTTAATTAAAAAATATATTAAAATATACAAATAAAGAGTTAAACCAGCCATTAAAATATTTAAAAAATTTATGGGTGGGTTAAACAAAATTTATAGATAAATGGGCGGTAGGGGGGGGGGGGTAAAATTTTTAAACAATATATATCAGCGACCTGCAAGCCCGGCCCTGCCCGGCCCGGGCCGTATTTTAAATTTTTTAAATATACCCGGGCCGGGCCGGACCTAAAAAATTTTATCCGGGCCGGGCCTAAAAAATTTTATCCGGGCCGGGCCTAAAAAATTTTTTTTAATATATCCGGGCCGGGCCGGGCCGGGCCATGCCTAAGATTTTTAAACCCGGGCCGGGCCGGGCCTTAATATTTTTTATAAAAAATTTTACATTATGAGTTATTGGTTATAAGATTATATTATATTATAGTTATGATTAATATAATATTGGGTGATGGTTAACACTACCTAACACCCACAGATCGATCTAATTATTAATTTCCTGAAAGATACCGGAAAACTCCATTTTAAATTACTTAATATATTTTAATATCTAAAATTTCAGTGCCAAATTGTGTTAGAAAACTTAGAAGTTAGACTTAGAACAGTATGTATAATTATTATAAATATATTTTAAATTACTTAATATATGTTATTATCTAGAATTGCAGTGCTCCACTAATCATTATCAAATTTTGTTAGAAAAGTTAGACTTAGAACAGTTGTGTTAGAAGAATAGTTTAGAAGTGGATATATCCCATAAACAGATTTAAGTAATAAAAAATTCTTTTGAATTATTCTCTTTAAATAAAAATGTACATTGATATTTTTTAGCTTCATATATTAGTTTATTTATATATTATCTTTTATTTGTAGTGAGATCCATTTTTATGATATAATATATAACTTACAAAAAATTAAATTTTTAGATATATTCAATAATAAAGAAATATACATTAATTGTTGAATTATCTTTTATCTCATAATAAATCGTTTAAATCTTTTAATATAATTATATTAAAAATATACATAATTAAATTATAAATTTCAATAATATTAAATCCGCAAGATGGCGTATTATTATTTTATAAAAAAATTTAAAATTATTTTTTGTTTTATTATATTTTAATATTGTATTATTACTTAAAAAGTAAGCTAAATTCAATATATTATCTATGATTCGAAAAATTTCAAGAACAAATATAGGTTTTTATAAATTACATATGATCACATTTTAATGGTTAAAGTGAGATAAATTAATTTTTTTAAATAATTTTTGCAAACTTGATATTGATCTTTTTTATAAATAGCCACTTTGTTTTTATTGCCATTATTACAATATTACCATACAATAATATCATTCTAATAAATAAGATATCACACAAAAATTTTATCGAAAATATAATGTTTATAAAAGATTATTTTACACCTAGCATAAAAATGTATATAATGTATAAAGATTTACCATTTTTAGGGGAAATATATAATTTAGATAAGGGATTCCGGTAATTATATAAATGTCGTTATATTTTATGTTAAAGTAATATAATTTGATTGTTTAAATGACCATGAAAAGGGTCTTTGGATTTTGTAGCGAACTTTTGGTTGAGTGGCCCTAGAAAAGGGCCTTTGGGTTTTATGGCTCTAAAAAGGGCCTTTGGGTATATTAATTCTGAAATAAATTAGTGTCTACTGGTTAATTTTTATGTAGGAACTATAATAACTTGGCTCTAATTCTATCTGATCTAGATCTTTTAGATTGACACGGTTTTTTAGATCCTGTAGGTTGAATTAATGTCTATCCAGCACATGTCGAGGTAATTTTTTTCTCGTTTATTTGTACTATGTGATTTAAGCACATTTAATATTATTTTTTTACGATGATCGTCACTTATCTGGTCCCATTCATGACGAATTTTTGTCACATCATACTTTTTTGTTAAATAATAATTTCCCATACCAAGAAGGGCTCTTTCAAAATCTTTTTCTTGTGCTAAACTTAATTCATAAATTTTATTGACCATCATATGCACAGGTGTTGTAGAATCTCGGTTAAACTTTATTTTTAACACATTATTTAAAGATTCACAGTTATTGTTAATATAAAGATACGATATCACCTTATTTTTTTAAAGGTAAATATACATATAAAAATAAAAAAAATTTTAAACTGGCATCTATATGTTTCAATAATTTAATAAACTATCTCTACAATAATCTCGCAGTTTTTCA